ATTAAAATGGTCAAATATTTCTGCCCCAAAAGAGAAACATTTCTGGTCACTCATTTTTTAAAAAATGCTATTTTTTCATATATATTTGTGCATTTATATGTACACAGTTACCTAACAAATATATATATATGTATATATACACACACACGTGTGTGTATATTTATACATATATATACATATACATACATACATATATATATATATATTTGTTAATCCTCACCTGAGAATATTTTTTCCATTGACTTTTTTGAGAGGAGTGGGAGGGAGGGAGGGAAGGAGGGGGGGGGAGAGAGAGAGAGAAAGAGAGAGAGAGAGAGAGAAACATCAATGTGAGAGAGAAACAACAATTAGTTGCCTCCTGCAGAGACCCTGATTGGGGCCAGGGATTGGACCTGCAACCCAGGTACGTGCTCTTGAATGAGAATCGAACCCAAAACCCTTCAGCACACAGGCTCGCACTTTAATCATTGAGCCACACTAGCCAGGGCAGAAATATTTATATTCATCCCTATAAAGGTACTTAGCTAGGACTGCTAAGGTTTAAAAAGAATCAATTATTTACTGGGCACTTGAAATTTACCAGATACTATTCAAAGTATTTTACATAGACTGCTTCATTTAACTCTTGCAGCGGGCCAACTCTGTGAGGTCAGCATTATCACTCTCCCCATTTTATGGAGAGAAAGCTGAGGAAGGCAAGGGGAGGTGCGCTTGTTTGGGGTCACACAGCTGAGCTTCTAGCCCAGGCAGCCTGACCTCAGAGCCTGTACCCTAAACCAATAAATTCTCCTACCCAGGGACTTCTAAGTAAAGAGACTACACAGCCAGCAGTCGAACCTTTCAGTTCTCTTTCGTGTAACAATCATCCCAGGAACTGTGTTGCACGTGTACAAGAACTGCGCTAGGGCAGGCGCTCAAGTCTTTCACTCAGATAAGGGCTCGCTGCAGACCTAGGTTTGAGAATAGATCCTCCCTTCTGGCTGTGTGAAAGTGTGCTTTAAGCCCTGTCTGCCACAGTTCCCTTACCTATAAACAGACAACACTCATGCCTAAGAGTAAAGAAGAAGTGTGATAAATTATTTAGCAAGGATAGTAAACAAATATTATAAACCAGTAAAAAAGTTCTATGAGAAAGGACTGTTGAAATCATCTTAGTCCCTGGCGGGGATAACAAGGAAAGAATGAGAAAACGAGGGTTAAATTGAGGGGAGGGTTCTAAATTAAAGCTGAGTCCTAGACCCAAAGTTTCCTATGTTAATTTTGTACATTATACTTAATGCAAATGCAGATGTTTCAATAAAGTAACCTTTATTAAGCACCAAGGCACTGCAATAGGGTTTTCCCACATCCTCTGTATCATTTAGTGTTTACAAGAGTCTGAGGTGTTGACACTGCAGTTTGCTGTGATTAGAGCTCACTGTTTTTCCACCTTCAAGCAGTCAGTCGTTCCTGGTGTTCTACTTGTAACCATCTACAGACTTATGCAGGCGCTTGTGTTCCTGCGCAGATATACAAATTTGTACTGTACTTGGTTGACTCTAAAAGTCACAGCATAAAATAGATAACTTAATACAATGTGAATTTAAAAAAATGTACAGGATTTTTTTACACTTAAAAAAATAAATAGGTTTTTATGTGTCCTTTTTCATTGCTTCCAGCTCTAACCTTTGTCCTGTGCTCCAGATATCTAATGAACATTCTGAGGATACTAAACTTACTTTTACTTCCCATCCAGAGCTGAAGGCGGCTTCTGTTCTTTCCTTCCCTGTCTCAGTGAAAGGCCCATGCCCGGCCCAGGTGGCTCAGTGGTTGGGCATCGACCCATGCACCAAGAGGTCGCCGGTTCAATTCCTGGTCAGGGCACATGCCCAGGTTATGGGCCTGATCCCCAGTGGGGGGCATGCAGGAGGCAGCCAACTGATGTTCTCTTTCATCAATGTTTCTCTCTCTCTAAAAATCAATAAAGAAAAAAAAAGTCAGGCCCATTTAATAACCAACCTAGTTTTCCAAGATAGAAATTGGGGGTTACATCCTATTGAGTTACCAAGTCCACTGTGTGGGTACCTCCTAAATGTCTCTCATTGTTTCTCTTCAGGCTCACTGCTCATGCACAGACCCTCCCAATCTCTTGCCTGGCTAACTAATTATCTCCTCTGGTCTCTGTGTCTCTAGCATCCATCTCTCCATCTATCATCCACAAAGTTGTTCCAGTTTCCATTCTAAAACACAGGCATGATTATTTCTCTACTTAAAACTTGCAATGGTTCCCTAATGCCCATGTGATAAGGCCAAGGGCAATGGTTAAGACCTTATACAGCTCTCACCACCTGGCCCGCTTTTATATCACCATCTGCTACCACATGCCAGCTCCTACAACTTCGGACCTAATCCTCCCAATGCTGGGTACTCTTCAAAGGCCATCTTCAAATACACTATATATATGTATATATCCAATTACATTTTCTCCAATATATTTTATTGGAAGATTTCTTTAAGATTATTATATGTTTTGTTTTCTCCTCTAGGCTTCTACCAAATTTTAAAAGCCTCATGGCAAAGAAATAATAAGACTAAAAGGCATCTAGGTTTGGATGCCTTAGCACTGATGGTCCTGTCACCTAAGGAAGTCAGTCTCCTCCACCAAGGACTTCTCAGCCAAGCCTCAATGCCAGTGAGCACACTGAGCACATAGAGAGAATTTCTTCATCCACTGATGGGACTCACTGCACAGACCTCTACGTGCAGTGTGTTTCTGTTGAACAGATAAATCAAATGGCTTATTAGCTGGGTAATGTAAAGATAATATACATATGTATGTTTTACTTTTCTTTATAAGTATGTTATTCTTCCATCAAGGTAATAAGCACCTGAGTTTTCATGGACAATTCTAAACGTGTATTATTAAATTTAATCATTCTTGTTAGCAAAAAATAATCATGAATACAAAGCAAATTAGCTCTGGCCGGTTTGACTCAGTAATTAGAGCATTGGCCCAAGGACCAAAGGTTTGAGGGTTTGATTTCGGTCAAGGGCACTTACCTGGGTTGCAGGTTCATTCCCTGGCCCTGGTCAGGGTTGTACGGGAGACAACCAATCGATGTGTCTCTCTCACATCAATGTTTCCCTCTCTCTCTTCCCCTCTGCCTCCCTTCCACTCTATCTAAAAATTAATGGAAAAATATCCTTGGGTGAGGATTAACAACAACAACAAAAAGCAAATTATATTTATTTAGTGTCTAAATAAAATTATAATACTAATACTGATAAAAATAAAAAATTTGATTTCACTAATGCACATAGGCCTTTATCAGCTAGTCCTCAACTTATCTCTGAAGTACATTTGGAGCCTAAAAATTAAAAAAGGAGAAAGTTCAGTTATTAGCATGAACCCATTTAGGAGATTATTTATACAATTGAAATGAATGCTCCTGACACATCAATGCCTATCAGAAAAGAATGCTAAGAAAAAAATATAACTGTTAAGAAAACTGCTTATGATAGAATATACTTTGTGTTATGGAATAATGTACCTCTGTTCTTAAATATGTGATCTACATGGGTTTTGAAGCCAGAGCCTTAGTTTCAATGACACTACGATCTAAACAAAGGAGCTGACTGGTCCAGAATAGAACATTATAATCATTAACAATGTTTTTAAATTAAGTTTTAGTCTAGAAGAACTTCTTAACAATTATATCATATGTTCATAAATGAAAAACTAAAACAAAAAACCCCTGACGTTGAGGACTGAATAAAAGTTTGGCCCTGGCCAGTTTGGTTCAGTGGTTAGAGCGTCGGCCTGCAGTCCAGAGAGACTCGGGCTCGGTTCCCGCTAAGGGCACGTACCTTGGTTGCAGTTTTTCCCCAGCCCTGGTTGGGTTGTGTGGGAGGCAGCCACTCGATGTGTCCCTTTCATGTTGATGCTTCTCTCTCTCTCTCTCTCTCTTCCTCTCTCTCCCTCCCACTCTATCTAAACAAAAAAATGGAAAAATGTCCTCAGGTGAGGATAAAAAAAAAAGTTTGAGTGATTTTTCTACTCTAAAGAAGTCACAAGATGATTACTTGTGTTGCCTCCCTCTATTAAAGCCCCAAAGCGGACATGTTAGCAAACTGTCTTCCTGTGCAATGTGAAAAGGAACACTTTTTAAAAACAGCAACTTATTTCTTATTTAAAAGGTAGGTCAAAACTCCAATCCCATATAGGCCTGTGGGAGTTCTCAGCAGGATTCTCATTCTATACGATCTGATAACAGATCACTAGTTCTTGTTCATTTTAAGAACTTTACCAACAAGTTGGGGTTCGCAATATCCATCCATGTGCTTAGATAATCTAAAGAGAATATGCAATTGTACATCTAGCACACACTATGGTCACTGAATATAAAAGAGCAAGTGAGATGGATATCTTAGACGTGGTCCAACATCTTGGACTTGCCACAACATTCTGGCTACGATATTAAAGCAGAAAAACCTTTGCAAAGTGTTAACCTGTCATTCCACAGAGTAATGACACGGTGCTGCAGCCTCATTAGCAGGGCAGCGTGAGTCTATGCAATAAAATTAGCACTACTGCTCCTTTTTTATTATTAGTTTGTGTTTCTAGAAGAGGTGTCACCTTATCTGTTAGGTTCGGTTCATTTATGCCCATCTACAGAGGATTTAATTATGTTCTTTTCTCTCTCTACACTGAGGAAACTGAAAATGGCCACTTCAAAATTAAAAACGGTAAAGAAATTAGTGAGTAGATTCCTTATTCTATCTACCAACCTTCTTCTTCCAGAGATACACAATGGAAATATGTTTAAACAAATAAGGCATCAGATTTATAGAAGAAAAAATTTTAGGCAAGGAAATGATTCGTCTTCCTTTCCTGTTTCCCACATTCATTCTGCACGTTTCCCCAGTTTGCCTGGGCAGCATGAGTTAAGGGTCAGTGTAGTAAAATGATAAAATTCCTGACGTGACATCACATTAGTGTTAGCCAGGAAACGTCAACTTACATCTGAGGAAGGCGATTCCAGAACAATGCCAAATCCTAGGACGCGGTTCTCCCCAGCGGAGGTGCGCTCGGCCGCCTGGGGGACAGCCTGGTCCGAGGCCGCGGCGGTCTTCTCAGTCTCTAGCACACCGGGCTTCTGTTTCACAGTAGCAGGGTCAACAGTCTTTGGGGGCACTTTTTTCTTTTTATTTCTCTTGCGTGAGACAGCAGTTCGCTGGGAGCATATAAGGGAAATTGGGGGTTGTTGTCTGTTTTGGGTTCCAACTGTGAACAATAAACAAAAATATGGTACAGGCACTTGTGTCCGACTTAGGGAAGCTTTTCACCCCTCTATCTGCATGCCCCACGAGCTGAGACTGCAGCGGGGCTCACTCAGGAACCAGCGCACCGAGGTGAAACAAAGCCACTGGACCTGACGTGCGCCCTGCGGGCTCTGCGGACTCGGAAGTTCCCCAGGCAGGGACACAGCCAAGAGCGAGGGCTGCACGTGCTGGTGAATAACCGGACTGCGGTGCTGCTGCCAGGTTCAGTGAGGGAAAAGGGTGATGAGCTATGAGGAGACATCTGAGCATGATTTCACAGGTCACAGGACATTTATATATAAATGAGAACCCTGGAACTTAAACTGAGGTGTAGATGTCCATGCTTTCTGCCAAGCATGCTGAGGACTATTCCAGTTGTCATTGGGGTTAAACCAATCACCTTCTAGCACTGAAATGGACCAAGACTGGACAAGGACGATCATTTGGGTAGGACTGAACAAATGAATAGTCTGGAATGACCAGGACCAGTAAGCATGTGGGCAAAGCCTGCTAGTCACGTGTCAGGTCCCGCAACTCCTTCCTCACAAACCAACACTGTCCACATATCAAATATCTCCACAGCACTACCCTGCTGGTTCCGACCAGGCTGCTTCTCCATACCTCAGTTTCATGTGGCTGAAAAATAGAAATAATAGAGTTCTACACGAGTCAAGCAAATGAGTAAAATGCGGAAACAGTTTGCGTTCCAAAGACAAAAAGCACTGAACTAAGTACCAATACTGAAAGACACAAGGATGGCAATTATAGTTTTCACAGGTGCACTCTGAGAAGTAATGTTTGTTAATTATTTCAAAATACTCTCACGGAAAGTTTAACAGAAAAAAATAAAATTGTCATGTGTTAATGTGGCTTACTCCGTGTGACCATAGGATATGCCTGCCTTTTTATAGAAACACACCTATAAATATGAGAAATGAAAATGAAGATCTTTAAATGCAAATAAATATGGATCATTTCCTATCAGTTTGCAAATAAATAATATTTATACTTTATACTTTACACTTGATATTTTCATCTCCAGCCTGGAAAGACATGTATAACTTAGAAACAAACTGCACTGCATATACACTGAAAAGTTTTTGATCACCATGTGGTAATTTATCGAGCTCACTGGTTCTGAGACCATGGCTGCACATCAGAATCACCCTGGAACTTGAAAACAATGTCAGTGCTTCAGCCTCACCCCAGACTAATTGAATCGGAATTCACAGGGGTGGTGCCCAGGCACTGAGATTTTTCTGAAGTTCCTCAAGTAACTCTACTGTGCAAGCCAGAGTGAAGAACTTTTCTCTGAATTTTCCCCAAAGTCAAGTGGATGATTGAAACAACTATCAAGATAATCTAGAACATACATCTCTCCAAGCATCATCATTCTAAATTAAAAGTAAAAATGTTTTTGGTTTCAAGAATGCAGGGACTATCTCAGATTCCTTCTCCTTTTGCAAGTCTAGACATAGCCGAACTTTCTTGCATCCAGATCTTATCGCTTGATCCTACTACCTTAAAGGTAAAACTTCCTCAATATATAATTTAAATCTGAGTGTTACAGGCAATTAACCCTAGCCACACAACACAAATTCTTAAGTTCAAGAAAATTAAGGAGGAGTAATTTATTTGGTTGATCTTCTCTGCTCTCCTATACTTTTGGATTTACGTGCTGCCCTAATCTGGAAAGGTTCAGAAAAGAAAACAGTGACAAAGTGGCCTTTACTTAATAGATTGTAAAATGGCTTCAGTCAAGGATTTAAAATGATTGCAATTTGCAGTTTGCCATTTCAGTAGTAAGGAGCTTAAGTCACAAAATAAATCATTACAATTTCCTATGCATATTTTCTTAGGTGCTAACAAATTCTTCCTCTGAGAACAGAATCTGTACACAGTGAAGTCACCTTTATTTCTGAGTTCCTTATTTAGGAGATGTTAACCTTTGTAAGGTTAATAAGAACACAGATTATCGTGGTGGAGTAAGGTGAGTTAAATGCTTACTGGTGTGACCAAATGCTTTCTCCCCTCCTTGAATTCAAACCAAATTCAGCAGATACAATTAGATGTTGCTTTTCCGAGAGCCTTTTGCTCACCTTACTTTCATGTGATCTTGGGTGACTGAGATGTCTTAAGTATTAAGCTTTTTAATATCAAAACCACATCACTTAATATTAAAATTTTACTAGACTTCACTAAAAGGCAACACGTACAATTTCTGAATGATGACCTTCGTGAATACCTTTGCAATGAAAAGAGGGGAATGCTCATCATACACTGTGCTATTTCTTGCTTTAGGCCAAGGTTAAGGAGCAGTTTTTCCTGGCAAGAAGAAAAGCTTAATGAAACGATCCATTATTTTCAGTACCTGTAACAAAAAAGTTCTGTTTTTTTCCCTCATAATTGTGAAAATTAGAAGACAGAGCCGCTATCATCAAGATCTAGACATCCAGACTTCTATGAAATGCTCTGTGGTCTTTATAACAACACTAACGAGCTTATGCTCGTGCCATGCTTTACAGAATTCATTTATGATCTTGTTCTCCTTTGCAAACCCTGAGAGTGAGATGTTGATACCCTAAAGACAGAGGAGAAATCTGAGGTTCAGAGAAGTCACACAGGTCTAAGAGGAGAAACTGAACTCTGACCCCAAACTACAAATTCACTGTTCTGTTCTTCGACCTAACAGGAGCGAGACTAAAAAGACATCATGCAAATAAAGAAGACAAAAACGTGTCTCTGAACTTCTATGTCCTGAATGTTAGGGAAGCAAGCCATCCGCAGGGCCACGCTTCCCAAGGGGCTCCTCCAGATCTCTGCAAATGTGTGGCTTCTCCACTGTCACCCCAAGCCCCAAAGGGATGATGCAGGAGTGGAGGTTGTCAAGATGCAGGCAGCCCCCACACTTAACACCTCAAGGGGCCAGAGGAGGCACCTCATTTTCTTTCCTGATCAGAATCTCTTTGTTGATTCACACTCGGACAATGAGCTGAAGGACTTTGCCCACCTTCATGTATAACTGCTTCAGACTATAATGAACTGACATTTGAGAGCTGCTAGGAGGTCAGGGTGTGAGGTATACAGAGCACACGTACATTAAGCATACGAATAGTATTATTAACAACAAAAAATGTGTTAGATTCTCTAAAGGGAAAATAGGTTAGAGAAAAAGCTGAGAAAATGGATACTTGAAAAACCATAGCAAGACAGCACAGAGGGAAGAACTCAACAATGAAAGCACAATAAACATCCCAACTGAAGACGTCAGCCATGTATTAAGAATAGGAGGACTCGATCTGATGTGTGATCTCTGTACCTGATTGAATTTGCATTAATTTCCTCATGGTCTTGAGTTCTTGGAGGATTGCCTGCAATGTTGACTGGCAGTTACAAGTACAGCAGTTCGATCCAACCAATGAATTCGCCACTGGAAGTTCTCCTGAGCACAAAAGAAAAGAATGACATACTCTAAACACCAGCAAAAGTATACGGGGGGTGGGGGTGGGGTGGGGTAGAGGTATCTTGACAGGACTTTGAAGCCTGTGCAATTATTAGGAGACCGTGCCTAAGCAAAATGTACTCAATGATTTTCACAATAAATATGGGGGTCTGACTTGATCTAAGTATCCAGGGTTCTGTATGATAAGCTGCGTGCCGTTCCCAGGGTGGTGAGCCTGCAGGAATGTCCACATACTATGTGCTGTCACAGCAGGCCTCCCCACTGTCACACCAGTTAGTTCATCTCAGATAACAATAGTGTCAAAATTCACTAGAAACCGGCTCACAATACTTGGCACAAAAAAACTAGCTCTGAGAACAGCCTTCCAAAGAAACTGGTATAGTTGCATGTTATAAGAGTTCGTATTAAGAATTAAATGTCTAACTATTAAAAAAGTTTTAGTATTAAGCATGTTACTTCAAAAATTAAGAACTGTCAACACATTAACACTTTTAGGGCATTCTCTGGGTGTGGTGTGTGGGGAAGAGTGAGGGTGCAGATTATGGGAGGATACATTTGAACTTGATGGGTTAGAGCAGTGGTTCTCAACCTTCCTAATGCCGTGACCCTTTAATACGGTTCCTCATGTTATATGTGGGCGTATCTGCATGTGGGCGGACCTGCCTGGAGACGGATAGAGGAGCCGTGTCTGGGTTCCTAAGACCATCCGAAATATGTGTTTTCCTACAGTCTTAGGCGACCCCTGTGAAAGGGTCATTCAACCCCCAAAGGGGTCGTGACCCACAGGTTGAGAACCGCTGGGTTAAAATGTGTTGATGCGCTGGCTTTTCTCCAAATTAATAAAGGCAATGTCCCTATATCTTTTTTCCATTCCTATTTCTTATATTTCCCTCATTTTAGTCTCTTTTTAACTGTATAAATCCAATACATTTTCATTAAAATAACTATCCTGTTCCGTTTCCCTTATAAGTAGACAAAATCTTCCTACTGTTCCTAGAATAAAAGAGAACATTTGGAAAATCACTTTCCGTGGTGTCCCCTCTGCATCAGCACCAGCCCACTACCGTTAACATGCACCATGTAAGACACTGCTCTCACTCAGGTGTTTTCACAGGTGGAGGAGGTAAGTTCTAAGGTTTTGGTCCAGGTATATCTTTTATTATACATTATATGTAATTTAAATCCTATAATATGCATTATTTGTGGATACTACAGAAAAGTTCACCACAGCAAAACCATTAAATACTTAAAGATAATGTTTGGAGTAGCACAATTATTTACATTCAAAGTTGTAGCAAACTGAGATGTTATATAACACCTTAAAATTGCAAATAATTTCAATGCAATACAGTTACAGTTATATATAATACATTTCTCTTGAAAACACGAAACCACAGAAGAGATCTATTTTCAAATGAATATGAGGGAATTTGTTTGTAGCTTTTAACATAACATTTTCCCAAAGTAAACACACTTTCTTTGCTGTGTACTGGAAACAACTCTGTTCACCTGAAACGTGTTGACGTGGGGATGTACTAATTCCATCCACACCCGAGGGCATCTGACTTCTCTCCTCGTTTCCTCCACGGCTGAAGAATCAGGAGGGCCATGTAGAATATTCTTAGTCACTATTCTAAGTACTGTCTTTACCCTTTTTAGAGGACAAACCGACTCTTTTCAGCTTGTTATAAATCATTTTCTAATTTGAAAGAGAACTGCCCTTTTATTTTTATGGAGGAGTCTTTCAAGAGCCATCCCCTCCAACCTGGAAGCATGCCAGGCTGTGAACCTGATATTGACTTATGTAATATTGAGGGAAAGAGAAGACACCAGTACATCTCTTGGGGTCCCCCACTGTCTCACCAGCAGTGCCTCAGGATGGCTTTTCATGAGTCTGAACTGCTTACTGGAAATTGTGTTTTAAAAAACACAATCGAAACAGTTCTCTTAATTTTGAAGGATAATAAGTGGGAAAAAAATCCTTTACTTTTTAAGGAAACTGAAAATGCGTTCTTACTTTTTTCTTGTTTTCTTTGTGTAACTACAGAACTGCACATCTATGCATAATTTATAGAACAAGTAACATCCCATGTCACTGGATGGAAATGAACACGACCAGAAAAAAATCATCCATTTTTTTCGTTAAGCTTTGAAAAACAAAATTCCCATTTGATTTTTTTCTAAACAATTAGAAACTTCCATTAAGGAAATTTTACTTTAAAGGACTACATTTTAACTCTAAGGAAGCAAGTTATGAAATATAGATCATTTGGACCAGCAGCTGGGATGTGAGATTAAAAGGAAGGAACGAGGGTGCTGGGTTATCAGTCCTCCCTTCTCCCTTTAACTCTGACTCTTCTGATAATGAAGAAAAGCAATGATGTCAGCAGGGGAATGTTAATAATACACCATATGACCAGGAAGTTTCTTTTAATGACAAAAGGGGGCTCTTACTGCCCTCATGTTCAGTCTTTTGTGACAATACCTATGCATCAGCAAAAGACAGCTTCAACTTCTTAAAGGGCTAAAACTCTACTGAGAAATCACGACTTCAACTACAGAACCCCGTAGTTCTGCTTCTCAATTCTGGCATTTTACAGTCTGCAACTTTCCCCATTATGTCTTCCCTTTTAAAATAACTGAGCTAAGGCAGGTGATTAAGGGAGGGCTTAGTGTAAACAGGTCCTCAAATAACATCATTTTCTTATAATGTTGATGAGAAAGCAATCGGTTCCCAGCCAAGGCCACCCCTGTGCGGAGTTGGCACGTTGTCCCTGTGTCTGTGAGTTTCTGCAGGGCCTCGTTTCCTCCCACATCCGGGGATGGGCATGAAGTTTACTGGCGTATCTACGTGGTCCCATCTGAGTGAGTGTGGGCGTGTGAGGGGGCTGGGATGGAAGATGTCCTGTCCAGGATGGGTCCCTGCCTTGGACCCAGCGGCCGGAAGAGGCTCTGGCCACCCGCGACCCTGAACTGAAATCAGCGGGTTGACAAAGAATCCTCGTTTTTATTCCTCTTTGTTAAATGTATGGGTAGCTCCCACTTGCTTCAATGTTTAATATTGGAAGTGCTTTGGGTCTTTATTTACAAGTTTGGTGATGCTTTTGTGACCAGAAATAGGCCGTAGGAACTTACTCTTGTTATGAGTGTATGGTAAAACTGGTTTTGTTATTTCACTTAAACGTCGCAGTTGCCAGGAATCTTTTGACAGCATTAAGTGAGGACTTGTTTTGAACTCAAAGAACACAGTAAACATTTAGGGATAAAACAACATTCGGACAGCCCCTACACGAGCGTACTGAACGTTTGATAATGGCCATACCGTTGGAGCTCCCAGCAGTGTGGTGCTGAGCCTGGAAGGTTCTGGGGCGGGGGCCAGACTGCCCCGCGAATTGCCCGCTCTGGGCTGGGAACTCGGTCCACACACCCCGAGAAGGGTGCAGGCTTGGCGGGGCCTCGGTGGCGTTCAGACGCTGGGGCCAGAGGGAGTCCACATCCTGGGGTTCTTCCTTCAGTTTTTCTCCCTCCTTGCCCACACGCTGATAGATCCTCCCCGCGCTGTCGTTCAGCAGTCTTCTCATGCCTGTGATTTGTTTCTTAATCTCCATGCTTTCACCTCCTAATGGGAACAAGGCCAAAGAGAGCACTGTGAATTGGCAAAAGAAAAAACAGTCCACTACCAAACAATGCCACCACCCTTCCCTGGCGAAGAGGGCTGTCCCAGGTGACAGCTTCCAGATCTGAAGTCGTCCAGGAACACCGAAGGCAAGGAAACTGGCTGTGGTCTGAAGAAACTGACTATATTCCGGGCGCATCTCAGATTAGTCTCTTTCTGGCCAAATTCTCTTATGATAAAAGCTCTCTGGGTAAGGGTGCCGGAAGAAAAAAGCTGAGGCAGAAGACGGAGGTGGGGCCACAAGACTGACACCCCTGCTTGGAGCTGCCTCCGCTCCTGGTGGCGAACACCACCTGTGGCAGTCAGGCGCAGACCCCAGGACGAATGTATGGCACTGGCTGGGGGGCAGAGCTTTCTGAGCTATTTGAGGCTGTTGGCACCGCAACAGCACCACTGATGAGGGTACAGTCGGCAGAGTCATCACCCTCAGAGGCGACAGTGTAGGAGCAGAGAGACATCGACGCGAGGGAGGAAGGCCTTGTCTTCTCAGCCCAGCTCACAGGGGCGCCGCCCTAGAACGGTGGACTCAGCCCAGCGAGGTCCAGGGGTCCCTGCTGTGCAGGCACCGGAAGGGGAAGTGCAGCCCCCTCCTGCCCCCAGCTCTGCCCCACCAGGACCAAATCCAGGGCCACCTCCACTTGGCAGCTACAAAATAGAATAGGTTGTTTCCAAGCCCAGCTCACCTATGCATTGACTTTTTAAAAACATAGTGGTAAAACTCATGTAACGTAAAATTTACCATCTTAACCGCTTTTGAGTGCACAGGTAAGTATATTCACATTGTTATGCAACAGATCTCAAGAAATTTCACACTGACTTTTTGTTTTAAAGACTCTTTTTCCCACAGGCGATTTTTTTTTAAACTAAGGTTTCTCTGCCCAGCACTGGGAACACTTAGTAAATATTACTTAAAGATAACTGTCAAATTATACAGATATAAAATATTTTCTATAAATAAGGACAACAGAAGATGCTGATATCTTTTTTTTTATCCTCACCTGAGGACATTTTTCCATTTTTTGTTCAGATAGAGTGGGAGGGGGAAAGAGGAAGAGAAAGAGAGAGAGAAACATCGACGTGAAAGGGACACATCGAGTGGCTGCCACCTGCTCAACCCAATCTGGGCCGGGGACAAACTGCAACCGAGGCACGCGCCCTTAGTGGAAACCGAACCCAGGTCTCTCCAAACCGCAGGTCGATGCTCTAACCGCTGAGCCAAACCGGCCAGGGCAGAAGATGCTGATATCTTTACAAGCTATTTCAAACATAGTGGCTTCTTAAATTATGCATCAGCCAGTATTTTTACAAAGGTTAAGAAAAGTGGATTTCCCCCTTCTAATCTGGGTGTTAAAATGAAAGTCTTATCTCAGGGTCTATATACACACTCATGCAGTCACTCTATTAAATGCCTGAAATTTAAACTATGAGGTTAAAAAAGAAAAAAGCCCACAGAAAGTATCTATTAGGAAAAACAGCGCCTGCAAATGAATTCAGCACATTTAATATGATGATGTTTTAATGCACTTAGTATCATATAAGCCAGATTTCTCTGTGGAACTGAGGTATTTTCACAGGTCTTTAGGTCTTTTCTCTAGGTCTTTTGTGTTGTGTAGTTGGATATTTAGTTAGTTAATATATAAATACAATACTGACTATGAGGAAACTTTTATACACTGTTTTGAAATAAGTATCTTCCTTTTTAAAAATGACAATAAAATATTAATTCTGCCTTTACTATCTAACATGGGTGGACACAGAAGTGACACAGACTTTCAAACTTACAGTATTATTCTTTGCTGCTATATGCTCCAGACGAGAACTGTTTTAGTTTGTAACAGAACCATTTTTACATGAACACCTGTGAAGGCTGCAATACCGAAACAATAACTCACACTCCAGAGTTTATGGGAATGACTGAGCACAGAGTAAGTGACACAGCCAGAATTTACACCCTCCTCAGCCGTCTGGAACAGGGTGTGACTGCAGGAGCTCCCGGAGGAGTTCTGAAAGATACAACTGCAGGCGAATGTGGTGTTACTTTCAGCACCCAAACACACACTTTCATGGCTAGTTAAGAGCACGGTTTGGGCAAGAAGAGGCTTCTTTCCTGCAGGGATCTTGCCTCAATCTCCTGGATCAGGGACACTGGGCACCCACCAAAGTCTGCAGCACACGGATATTCGCTGGTGCTGGCTGGCGGCTGCCACTCCCTCCCGTTGGCTCCCTGGTAAGAGCTGCCGTGAGGCCACGCTCCAGTGCCAGCCTGCTTCTCCACAACAACGCAGGCACATCAGCAAGGGATACCCTCTTTTCAAAGGTTCCACCGCTGCTCTGGAGACCGAATGCTAGAATAAAGCACTGTCTTTAGGTGGGGAAAGAAGTCCCGAGGATTCTGGAACTTTCTAAGAGCATATCTGCTTCGTTAGGACACTTAGATTCCTAGTTTCAGAAGTTATACCTCTGAAAATCACAAGACTAAAAATACGATGTGAGTTTTGCATACCTTCACGTTCACGTGGAAGACCAGAACCCTAAGCCGCAGGGCAAGTGGGAAGGGACAGTCTGGTTGTCGGCTGCCCCTGCAATGTTTGAAAACATTTCTTCCAAAGTCAAAGCAAAAACCAAGCAACAAATCAGCACTTGGGGAACCCAAGCGGAAGAAAGAGGACAGCAGAGGCCAAGGCACCCCGACCGACTTCACTCCGCGGAGCCACAGTCTCGCGAGCTGCGAGGACTTTTTAAAGGGCTGAAAACTGCAGAAGCCAACGAGAGGAAAGTGAAGAGACTGTGGGGAAGGTGGAAGAAGGGCTGATTGGGGGACAGCTTCTGAGAGGAGATGAGCCTGGCATCCCCTCAGGACGCTGGACATGCACGAATGGTTCTGGGGTAACGGAACTGTCCTAAGTTTAGCCAAAGAAGCAGGGAGCAGCTCTGAAAATATCACCCATGGGGACAGGCCCTGGAGCCGCTTACACATGCAGGTGAGGATGGGCTCTGGCAGACTGAGGGACGTGTTTCCTTGCACATTTGGGGCAGAAAGAGCAGAGGGTCAGAAAGGAGACCTGAAGACTAAAAGTAGGGGTGACCAAAAAAGCCGAGTCAACCCACGTACTGGGATGGAGTGGGTGCTGACCTCAGTGAGCAGGTGAACCCGCAGTTCAGCTCCCAGGTACTGGTGTGGGCACACACAGGCCTGGTGGGTATTCCTGACACCTGGCCTTGCTTTTTTTTTTGGTAAATCCTCACCCAAGGATATATTTTATTTATCTTCAGACAGAGTGGGAAGGAGAGAGAGGGAGAGAAAGAGAGAGAGAGAAACATCGATGTGAGAAGGACACATCGACTGATTGCCTCCCACACAACCCTGACCAGGCCCGGGCACCAAACCCCAACCGAGTTATATGCCCTTGATTGGAATTGAACCCAAGACTCTGGTCCGTGGGCCAATGCTTTACCACTGAGTCAAACTAGCCAGGGTTGGACTTGCTTCTTAAATGTGCTAACTTGTTACCTGATATGAGACAAGTCACCTACTCTTTCCAGAATTCCGCTTTCTGAGTCACGACATGATCACCAGACCTCAGCTCCGCACCAAGGGGTGCACAGCAGTCGCAGGGACGGGGCAGAGCCTGAGCCCTCTGAAAGTCATGGGTGTCCTCAGAAGAAGTGAGCTGACTCTGTCCTCACTGTGGAGCCCAAGTTGTGTGTTTTTTAATTGAAGGAGCCCAAGTTCTTTGATTTTTAAAAAATGGTGCAAAGTATGTAAGAGACTGAGATTTGAAGCATTAGTTGCCCTCCACTGTCTTTCCGGTTCTAACCAGTCAATATCTTGTACGCGTATAAATGCCAGGAAGAGGAAGCTGTTAGGAGCAATGGGGATCTAAAGAAGTGCAATCCCATAAGAAATCTGCACTTCAACCTCTCTCTGTCTTCATTTATACTCAGCGCCAAGAGATGGAATCTTTCTGGACAAAACAAACAGCGAGAAATCTAACTAAAACGGATCTACGCTATGTGGCTCCCTTACAGATAAGACCACCTTAACAGAAATCCGTTACAGAATTTAGTAACTGTGCTCCTTGGACAAGACTTAAAAAAGACTGCAGGCTGGCCCTGGCCCGTTTGGCCCAGAGACCAAGAGTCGAGGGTTTGATTAAGGTCAAGGGCACGTACCTTGGTTGTGGTTTGGTCCCCAGCCCTGGTCGGGGTCATGTGGGAGGCAGCTGATCAGTATGTCTCTGTCACATTGATGTTTCTCTCCGTCTCCCTCTCCCTCCCACTCTGTCTGAAAATCAATGGGAAAATACCCTCGGGTGAGGATTTAAAAGAAAGGTTGCAGGCTGAATTCTACCCTTTGCTAAATTTCAAGACTCCACCAGATCACTTTCCTTCACATAAAGAATGCGAATATCACGTACAGAGTTTAGCAACAGAGAAGTCATCATACAGGACCTCCCTTCGCTTGGCCAGGAGAGAAAGGTATACTACACAGAACAGGACTGATTATTCACGGTCTGGGATTTTAAAAGATAAAGGCGGCAACAAAAAACAGCAAGCAGTTGTACATCAGGATGTCCATCTCTGTGTGTCTTCTTATGAAGCCTCGTGAAGAACAGTTGTCACATCTCTGTCCTACAGATGAACTAGTGTTGATGTGTACTAGGTATTCCATAAACCTTTTTCGAGTTATGAAAGAAATGGATGATCAGAACCAGAATGAATCCAGTAAAATTAAATGTAATACTAAGGTCATAAACAAACAGTATCTTAATAGAATGGAGTAGAAAAGTACCAGAAATCAATTGTTCAACAAACAATTACCAAATGCCTCACAGGCCCCAGAGATATAAAGATCGTCTGGTACAAATTAAAAGGCACCCCCCCATCTCCAAATCTCTTAATATCTTTTATCTAAATCCCTTTATATTCATTCTGAAAATTGG